TAATGACATCAATATCAAGGGCGATTCAAAATTTGTTACTCTGTATGAATTTATGTAAATTATAAGAATTTTAAACCTACAATATGTCCATAAAAAAAAATACAAGAAAATAATACTTTTATTGATACTTTATGTGTTACAAATCTAGTTGTTCTCTTAATTCATTTTTAAAGGTTAGGGCTTTGTCGACTTATTTCATTAGAGCATAACATTATGAAATCCTAGATTAAAAGAGCAAGATAATTATCTTATAATTTTCAATAATATCTTTGAGATAGTATCACATAATATATATATATATATATAGAGGAAGGCTCATATAAGAACCCTCCTCTATATAAGAACCCATTATATATAAGAACTAATCTGGACCGTGAGATTTGAATAGATCTGACCGTCCAAAATGAATAGATTAGTAATGGCACTTTGGTAATTGATATGTGATGCTTATTTAGAAATAGAGGGAGTATTGATATTATTCTCTTATGTCTCAATATACAGGTACGAGGATGATGAAGGGATAAGGAGTAAGTTCCATGACATTTTGACTGAAGCTCAAGCCATGCTCGCCGGCTTCTTCACTTCAGATTACTTCCCTTACTTCGGTTGGCTTGATAAGCTAACTGGAAAATATTCAAAACTTGAGAAAACATTCAAGAAATTGGAAGAATTTTATGAAGAGGTCATTGGTGAGCATCTTGACCTAAAGAAGCATAAATTTGAAAGAGAAAACATGGTTGACATTCTGCTCCAACTCAAGAAAGAGCGTTGCTTTTCATTTGAGCTCACTCTGGATCACATTAAGGCAGTGTTAATGGTAATTATTCTTACCCTTATAAATTATGGTGTTAATTATACAATAATTTAACAATAAACAACAATTAATTATGTAAGTGAAACAAAATAATTAAATTGATTTTAATACCTTACCAAAGACATTAAGGGTATAAATAATGAGGCATTAGGCCTTATTAAAAACGAAAGAAATTTAAGAAAAATTAAGGTTTTGTATTTAATAAAAGAATATTTTTAAGTTAACTCCCATGCAATATACGTAGTACTGTCAAAACGGTTTGACAGTTCGGTTTCAGTTCGGTTTGAAATCGGTTCGGTTTGAAATCGGGTCGTTTTGAAATCGGGTCGGTTTGAAATCGGTTCAAGTGTCTTACGGGTCGGTTTCAGTTCGGTTTAAATAATTATCGGTTCGATTCGGTTTCGGTTTATTCTTGAGCTGTTTAAATTCGGTTAGGGTTGTAAACGGTCCGGGTAGTAAACGGTTCGGTGCAGACGGGTTGCGGTTTGTTAACGGTTCGGTGTAAACGGTTTCGGGTTAGAAACGGTTTGGTTCTTTTTTGGTTCAGTTTTATTTTAGTTCGGTTTTTAACTGGTTGGATTCGTTAACGGGTCCGATTCTTCTACAATTTAACATTATTTGGATCGGTTTTATTTCAGGTTTACTAAATTACGGTTCGAGTCTATTTTTGATTTCAAAAAATTGATTTTTTATCGAGTCGTTTGGATTCGGGCAATTAAACAGTTTTGGTTTGAAATTTGATAGTACTTTCTAACTTTTTGCTGGTTAACAAGTTTTATATCAAGCCGAGACTTCATCACTTCATATTTAGACATCATATTATATACAAATTCTCATTAATTTTATAAATACATATCATGTTATGTTTCAAGTTTAGCCATACCGATCTTACTAGTTTATTACGAAGTAGATTATAAAAGTTTAGTGCATTAATGTATTATTGTTTTACTATCAGATTATTATCTGCTTCTTATTTGATCATTTAATTAATAGTGTCATAATCACGTTTTGATGAGTTGTTGTGACATCGAAATTTGCAATTTGGTATTCGATACTTAATTAGTCAACAAGACTGATAATTAAGACTCGTTTATCATTATATATTTGCATAAAGTTATATATGAAGATTTAGTTAGTTTTGTATTTTTATCTTTGTTTTGTAATCTTAGTTTTCCTAGATTAGTTTAGGCTTAGATTTAGTTATAATCTTAGTTTTGTACTTTTAATCTTTGTTTTGTAATCTTGTTTTCCTAGATTGTAATTTAGATTATGAGTAGTGTAGAGGGGGAAAGTGATTGTTTTCGATTGATTAGTGCTAGTATAGTGGTGTGTATAGTTATTTCTAAATGATTTGGATGTGCTCATTGAGGTGTGTTTAATGTTGCTTTCACTTTGGCTAATTGAATGCATCTAATTAATTAATAAACATGTGTGCATAATAATTATGTTTCAAAAAAAAAAAAAAACACATGTGTGCATAGATTTCATTTAAAATACCTTTTAACTTGGTTTTAATCTTTTCTTTATAGTAAGCGATTTGTAAACGGTTCGATTTATAAGTGATTCGGTTCATAAATGGTTTGGTTTATAAGTGATTCGGTTTATAATCAGTTCGGTTATAAACGGTTCGGTGCAAACAGGTAGCAATTTGTTAACGATTCGGTGTAAACGGTTTTTTATGCCAGTTTAAACGGTTTCGAGTTAGAAACGGTTCGATTCATTTTCGGTTCAGTTTTCTTTCAGTTCGGTTTAGATTTGGTTCGGTTCTTAAACGGTTTAAAGTTACTCGGATCGGTTTGGTTTCGGGTTCACTAAAATACGGTTCGGGTCGATTTTCGATTTCAAAAAATCGGTTATTAATTGGTTCGGTTCTCATTAGGGTCGGTTGGATTCGGGCAGTTAAATGGTTTCGGTTTGAAATTTGACAGTGCTAAATATAAGCATATAAACCTCCATTGTTGAAACATTTTGACCGACCCAATATTTAATAGAATAGTTAAGAATGCCTTTCTTTAGTTGAAAATATAAATGGTGGGTAATTTTTGCACAAATTTTGGCATATACTACATTGATCAGGTGTGAACTCGGGTAAATGGGTTAGGTTTGATGGGTTGGGTCGAGGCTATATTAAATTTGAGTCATGCTAATTTTTGTGTCCATACAAGTCGAAATCATAATCAGGTTTTGATTGGGTCAGTTTCAAATCAGGTTGAATAGGTTAGTATATGATACTTGCCCGTCCATGTACAATTAGCATTATGTTTTTACGGATGCATGGTATTATTAATATTACTTCTAAAAATTGAAGTAAAAATGTACAATAATGTATAGTACCAAAATTATTTTTCTTTTTTAATTGAAACAAAATTTAATGCTAAAATAATAAATTTGGAGAAATTAAAAAAATCGAATGATAATAATACAAGATTATTGAATGATGATACTATTGTAAACATATTACCTTATCTATGTTCATTTATTTTTAAAACACCTAATATAAATATATGAAAAATATATCAAATTATTCTATTAGAGTGTATTTGGAAAAAAAAAAATTATATAAATATTAAAAAATAATATTTATATAAAAAAATTATATAAAAAATGGAAGGAAAATAATTTAATTTTAAAAAATTAATGAATATTTAGCAAAAAAAAAAATTTAAAAATTAAAATTTAAAGGAAATGAAAAATGGAGGCAAAATTTTTAACCAGCAAATATAAAAAATTATTGATATTGATTACTGATTACGTTCACAACTTCAATTACATCGTTCGGTAATTAAGTCATAATGGTGATTACTTAAAATAGTACAATAATCCCTCCAATCTTCCTTTCTATTTTTTTTATTTTTTATTTTTTTATCTTCCTTATTAATTATGTTATTCTACAAATATAAAAAGATATATTTCCTTAATACGAAATCTACAATACCTGTAGGAAAAATACTATCTTAACACTAAACTTTAACTGATTTTCAGGATATCATAGTAGCAGGAACTGATACTAGTACAACTATGGTAATTTGGGCAATGACGATGATAATGAAAAACCCCAATGTAATCAGTGGCGGACCCAGGAATTTCCGACTGGTGAGTCACAATCGATAATCAAATATGTAAAAAAATTTTTTTACCAAACAACCAAATAATAGTACTAAAAAATACATCTAAATATTCAAACAGTACAAAATACAACCAAATGTTCATATAATACTACAAAAGATTATTAAATAGTAATGCAAACTTATTACAATAGTTCTCGACGAGTTTTCATGTTTTGATATCGATTTATGATATCTTCCATGCTAACATTCAAAAACAAATCATTCTCCAAATAAGTAATTAAACAATCATTCAACATTTGATTTAAAATAATCACTCAGGCACTCAGCAAGTCAGCACTTCAGCATTATCATTATTATCATTATTACCCCTAAAACAAAAACTTAGAATTCAAACAATATAGATTTAAAATAATAATAATCATAATTGTGAAAACTAAATAATAGCAGAGACAAAGAAAAGCTTAAGTTTGATAAAATCTGGAAAATTATAATCTTACTCGTCCCACTTCGCTAGAAGATCGTCCGTAAACTTATCGAGGTTAGTGCTATCCCATGGATCTGCATCCCGAAACTCAGTTAGAGGAGGAATAGAACAAAAAAGACGAACAGGGATAGAGTCATCCATTTTTCTTTAAAGTTTTTTCTCAATTTCTATTGCTTCTCTTCGATTAGGGTTTTCTGGAAAATTTGAGAGGAAAGAGGTTTGCAATTCAGTAATCTAAACTGCAATTTTATAACCTGCAAGTATTTGGAGTCGGTTTTGGTTTTAATCTTTTTTCTAATATCAGGCCTCCTGTTTTTCTTTCCTTTTTCTTTCGAGCAATAAAAATCTCAGCCCTTCACTACCCTTTTCCTGTTATTGTCCACCGTCCACGACTCCACGGAGACGGAGCAGGCGAAGAGAACGGTGGCTGGGTGGAGAACTGGAGATGAAGCGAAGAGGCGAAGAGAACTAGAGAAGAAGGCTAGGGTTTGAACTTTGAGGAACAGAGGAAGACAGTAACTCGGAAAGCTAAAGAAAGTTTTTTTTTTTTTTTTTAAATAACTTAAAAAAAAATTTGGGCCCTGGTGAGTCACTTGACCCACCAGGCACAAGCCCAGGTCCGCCACTAAATGTAATGAAGAAAGTCCAGAATGAGCTTAGGAATGCGATTCAAAACAAAGGGTATATCGAAGAAAATGATCTCTCAAATCTTGAATACTTCAAGGCAGTAGTAAAAGAATCATTCCGATTACATCCAGCAGCTCCATTATTAGTTCCACGGGAAACATTGCAAAATTGCACCATAGAGGGATTTGATATTCCATCCAAGACTTTACTATATGTCAACGTATGGGCTACTGGTAGGGATCCTAAAATTTGGAAAGACCCCGATTTATTCAAGCCCGAGAGGTTTATGAAAAGTTCGATTAATTTTCTTGGACAAGATTTTGAGCTTATTCCTTTTGGAGCTGGAAGAAGAATATGTCCTGGCATACATCTTGGTGTTGCTAGCTTGGATATTATGCTTGCCAATTTATTGTACTTTTTTGATTGGGAATTGCCTGGTGGTTTAAGAAGGGAAGACATTGACACTGATGTGCAACTTGGATTAACAATGTATAAAAAAAATCCACTTTGTCTTGTGGCAAATAATTATACGAGTATTTAAGATGTTTTTAATAAAATCAAGTTTAAAATAAAATCTTGTAAAATCTTAAATAGACCTTGTTTGGGTCCAATTTAGTCAACCTAATTGGGCCAATCCAAATGATTTAATTACAAAAGCCTAAAGCAAGGTTCAACTCTCCAAAACATGCTAAAGTCAATCAAGCTCAGTCAGCATGGCAAGCCCATATGACTTCAGGGCCTAGTCCTCATATTTTGAGCAAAGGTATAAAAGCAATCAATTGTCTCACATATCATGGATTCAGAAATAGCCTCGAGAAATTAATTCACTTATATAGCTTTTATCTCTCAACACACTTAACTGACTTTAGCATCGGATGGGCCTTCCTCGGCAACCACCCCCGAGGCTAGTTTACGTGTGTTTGTTGTGCAAGAAACCCTCAGTCCATTCATCAGTTGGTCCGAGATCAGTCTTCTTCCTTGAAAAGGGCCTGCCGAAGGTCCTATTGTTTTCATACCAAACAGACCTGATCACATTAATTTATTGTGGACAATTAGTATTAAGGTCACTATGTTTAAATATTTTTTTAATAAAAAATAAAGGTTGTTATATTAATAAAAAGGTGACTATTTCAAAATAGAGGTTATATTATGTTGAAATAAAAGTTATTGTGTTATAATAAAGATCATATAAGATCAAAATATTTTATAATGAATGTTTTTAATATACTAGACAATATGAATTATAAAGATCCGTATGTTAAAAATAGCGTGACTATATATTCAACATAATGTTAGTTGATACACGTGGATCTTAAGTTCGCAATAATATTAACGTGAATCAAGTCCACACAAGTTTTAAAAAAAAGTCACTATGTTAAATTAGGGTCCCTATGTTCAACATAATGTCAAACCTCAAGTTCACAAAAGTTTTTTTTGTTAAAATCCTAAAATTACATGCAAGAATTAGTTAATGACATCAATATCAAGGCGGCGTTTAAAAATTGGTTACAAGTTTGTGTTAATCATAAAAATTTTAAACCTACAATATACTGATAAAGAGGCAAGAAAATATACGAAAATATTAATTTTATTGATAATTAATGTACTGTGTTACAAATCTATATAGGAGCTCTCTTAATTTCACTTCCAAAGGTTAGGGTTTTAATATGTGTTTATTATATGGAGCCTTGGTAGCTTATTTCATCAGAGAATCATCTTAATAAAATATTTAATAAAAAATAATTCAGTTTAATAAAAATAATTTTTAATTATTAAAAAATTAATGACGTTAAAGAACTAATATAAAAGAGTACCTGTAAAAATAAGTTAATCGATAAAAAAAATTCAATTTAACAAAAATAAGGTAAAGAAAACATAAGCTAAAAGATTTTTTATATATATAATTTTGTTTTAAGTACAACATATCAATAGTATGCACAATTCACATACTCGACTTCAACTACATTTCGTGACTTATATATATTTTACAAAAAATAGTATGTAGTTCTTCTCAAGCTGAGCCACCCCGGCCTCCACCTTTCCGGCTGTCTCATCATTTTGTGGCGAAGGCCGACTTTGGGTGGCGGGATCAAACCACTTAAACCATAACAAACTATGTGAATTTCCTAGCCAAAAGACAAAGTGGATCTTTCTTACTCATCACAAGACCAGGCAACGTATCAGTGTCAATGTCGTCCTTGCTCATACTATTAGGCAATTCCCATTGAAAATTATACAACAAATTGGCAAGTGCAAGCTCATAACTAGCTACACCAAGAACCATTCCCGGGCATATTTTTCTACCAGCCCCGAATGGAATAAGTTCGAAGTCGTTCCCTTTATAATCAATTGAACTCTCCATAAACCTCTCGGGCATGAATTTTTCCGGGTTTTCCCAATGTTCGGGATCTCTTCCAAGAGCCCATATGCTCACGTATATGTGAGTTTTAGGTAGAATATCGTACCCTTCTATGTTGCTTTTTTTAAGTGTTTCTCGAAATGTTACTGGAGCTGCAGGGTGAAATCTTAATGTTTCTTTCACTACTGCCTTAAAGTATTTACACTTTAAAAGATTGTCCATTGTGATACAACCCTTACTGTCGGATAAATTATTCCGAAGCTCTTCTTGTACTTTACTCATGATTGTTGGGTTCTTGATTAGCTCAGTCATTGCCCAAATGACCATGATTGTACTCGTATCTGTTCCTGCTACGAATATATTCTGTGAAAGACGTACCATGTTAGTACTATCAATCAATCAATCGAAGGCTTAGTCTCATAAGTGAGGTCGGCTACATAAACCAAAAGTAATTATTCCGTATAGTCATCAACAAAAATCTTCCTCCTCCATCCCTTACGATCAAATGTCAGTACTAAACAAGTCATTATCAGCAATAATAATGTATCATGAATAAGATTTAAGAGAACAAATTACCATAAGAATTGCTTTAATGTGATCCAAGGTTAGCTCAAATGAAAGGTTACGCGCTTTCATAAGGTTTAGCAGAACATCAATGACATCCTTTTGGTCAGATTCGAGTCGATTTGGGTCAAGATGCTCGTCAATAATCTCCTCATAAAATAAATCCAAGTCGTTGAACACCTTGTCAAGCCTAGAGTATTTTCCGGTCAGCTTATCAAGCCAGCCAATGGAGGGGAAATAATCAGCGATGAAGAAGGCCGTCGACATGGCCTGAAATTCATTAAAGAGGCTGTGAAATCTCCTTCTTTCAAATTCTTCTTCCTCTTCATAACTGTATGTAGATACGAGTAAGAAGATTAATTTTGTAAAAATAGAATTTTAGTAAATAAAAAATAAATAAAATAAAATTAAAAAACAAAACTACCTTATACATTTTAGAATTTGTGAAAAACTGTACAAAAAAATCTTGTAAGAAACTATATAAAACAATAAATGTTGTACGTAAAAAAGTAATAAAACACATAGGGAGTAAGAAGCTAGAGCTACCCTCTGACGAAATTACGCTTTGCATAAGAGATGTTTAATGATCTTTTTCCCACCCTTTTCCCCTTTTCATGCCCAGTTTCCCAATAGTAGCTTTTTATCCCCGAATTCTTCTTCCCTTTCATCATTTAATCTGGCATAAGATAGCTCCTTACAACATTCAATATTTTTATAAGGTAGTTTCGTACAACATTTTGTATAAACTAGTTCTTCATAAAATTTAAAATGTTTAACGTAGTTTTTCTTTAAAAAAATCTCAAAAATACTCATTTGAATTTTATGCTACAGAAGTATATATCAACTTTGACTATAGTTTTACATAAATGCACATAAAATAAATAATTTATCATGTGAAATGGTGATGCTAATATGATGGATGCTCTTTACATCCCCTTTTGTTTGCACTATTTTCTTTTTGATCTGTTATTTTCAATTGTCTCATGATATTAATGATTATTCCCTTCGTCCTTTATTTTTCTTATATTTCATTTAAAGTCGGATGGATTGTTTCAAATTAATAATGGAAGCTACAACTTTATATTACTCTCACACATAATACATTTGATCGTACTACTTAACCAATTATTAACAAGGTAAAAATAAATTGGTTTGGGGTCAAATAATTGAAAATATTACTTCGTATATATATTGATAGTCAAAAACACATCTTAGGACCATGCAAATGAAATAGTACTAGATTATCAGACAAATTGAAGAGAGTGTAATAATTACACGATGTTAATTACGTAATAGACATTGTGCATTAGCAAATGGGTCAATTAAATAGTTGTGGCTAGTAGGCTTTATTTTGTTCAATATTAGTAAAGGAAAAGAAGAGAAAGGTGTAGGGTTTCGTAGTGACCCGACACTACGCGGAAGGAAACCCACCAAGACCCGCCCCTTAATTAAAGCAATTAAACAAGCATAATAAACTTAATCAAACAAGATTAAGAACGAGAATTATACCTTTGACGCGTGCTTCGCTCCCAAAGAGCTCTTACTTCAAAATCCCGAAAAGACGATATCTCCGACGGATCGTACCCTCGACCCGACCCGAGCGTCCTAAGTGTTGAAGGTTAGTCAAGACCCGGACAAAATAACTATGAGTTTTACGAATCAAAGGTTTACTCTTTCTTAGAGTTGCCTTTTTAATTCCACTCAAGGTTGTTCATTTCCCAATACCCAAGCTTGGTATTTATAGGGAAATGAACCCTTGTATTTCATTCCCCAACCAATGTGGGAGAATGTTTCATTTGCTAATTAATTTATTTCTAAAATAAATTAATAAGTAAATGCAATCACAATTCGACAAGTGTCAAAGGGAGAGAGAGCATTAGGTGAGGACCATGGAGAGGTGGGGGGACCAATGCCTTGCTCCCCAAGGCTTTCCCAAAGCCTTGGTCCCCACCCTCACAAAACCGCATCACCTAAGGCTGCTGGCCAGCTGGTTGTGCCAGCTAGCCCAGCATGCTAGCACAAGCCCAGCAGCAGCGCTGGTGCTTGCTCGTGCTGGCGCTGGTGCTTGCTGGTGCGTGCTGGCGCTGGTGCTTGCTGGTGCGTGCTGGCGCTGGTGCCAGCATCCCACGCATCATCGTTGCACCGTATGCTTGCATGGCCCAGCATACGCGCTGCTAGCGAGCCACGCATGCTGGCCTCTTGCTTCGCATCACACTCGCACACTATGCGCGCCACGCATCAGCCCCTCTCGCACGCAATGCCTAGCATGCGTGCTGCTAGCAAGCCACGCATGCTTGGCTTGACGTTGCTAGCTTGCTAGTCCCTCGCATACACTCGCACAGCCACATGCATCAGCCTCGGCCATGCACCATGCACGCACATGCCTCGCCCAAGCACCACGCACCATGCATGCGCCAGTGCCTAGCACTAGTTGTGCTTGGTGCGTGTGGTCCTGCCATGCGCCCAACATTGTGCTAAGGCCTCTACGGTATCAGGCCATCCTAGGGCACGCATGGTGCGCCTAGTGATGCTGCCTGGGCTGCGATGGTGCCCAACCATCCTAGGGCACGCATGGTGCGCCTAGTGATGCTGCCTGGCTTGCGATGGGTTGCGATGGCGCCCAGCATTATGCTAGGGCTGCGATAGCGCCTAGGCATGATGCCAGGGCTGTGTTGGCGCGCCTGGTGCTAGCGATAGCCAGCCATGGTGCCTAGCCATCACGCTAAGGCTGCGATAGCGCCTAGGCATGATGCTAAGGCTGCTATGGCGCGCCTAATGCCTATGATGAGCTAGCCTAGCCTAGCTATGGCTATGCTCATACTTGTCGATTGTGATTTTGCGACGCTCGGTCTCGATGCCTTAGGCTCGATGTCCGACGTCTGTATTCGTAAAACTCTGTCGACTCATTAAATCCTTTCGGATTAATTCGTCGTCTCGGATCGGTGATTCGATTGGGTTCGACCCGAAGGGTTCAGTTAAGATTAAGTTGTAATATCAATTGTACCTCGATATTACTGATCGGAAGCGGCCTCCACCTAGGCATCCCGATCACTTGACCTTACTGAAGAATTAGCTCCGTAATAATTCTGAACCCTCTATCGGAAAAATACACTTGTTGGAAGGACACCATTCCTTTCAAAAGGAAGAGAAGGGAAAGGAAGGTGATTTTATTTTCCAATATTTGGTTAACGTAAGGAAATAAAAGGAAAAGAAAGGAAATTTATAATGCATAACTTTTATTTTTCTCTTTCCAGTCAAATTCCTCCAATTTTAAGAGGAAAGGAAAGCTAAAAATTTGTAAAGGGACTTTCCTCTCACTTCCCTTCCTTTCCTTTGAATTCTCATGTCATTTATTCAATCAAACATGGGAACATAATTAAAACCATTTCCTTTCTTTTCTTTTTTATCCAAATCCCTTCAAACAACAAGGGCCTTAAATTTAATGGGACAATTAATTAAATAGTTGCGATAATTTAGATTTGAAGGGGCAATTAAATAGTTTTAATTATTTAGATTTGATGGGATGATTAAATAATTGTGATAATTTTAGCTATGAAAGGAGTACATACAATGATCTAGACAAATAAATTAGGGGAAAAAAATTAGACAATAATGACATTTTATCTTTATCTTATCTTGCTCATCATGACGATTATCAACCTTAATGTATGGGTAATGATAGATATTCAACTCTCCCCTCATCCGAAGCTTGATGGCAGCTCGAAGAATCCAAGGACACACGTCTAATCATCCCACCTCATCACCCAACACCCAGCCAGCCCCCCAAAATAAATAAAAGTACACATTATATCTTACCCGAATTGGCCGAATATGTGAATTTCTAAATTCTAATTCTATTTTAAATGATATTTCTCGAAATATTTGGCATGTTTGACATTTACTATTTGTATACTAATTTTGATCATTGTTTTTGTCATAACATATTAAAAACAAATTTTGTCACGAAATATATTGCTAAATATTTATTAATATCAAGCTTCATTATATCAATATTTTTTGTATTTTTATTTTAACCAATGTTTAATTATACATATTTTAAGGTCAAAATAGCATATTGACATGGTCAATTATTTTGAGACAGAGAGAATATCATATATTTGGAGCTAACAATTGAACTTTCGGGTCCGGTCCAAGTCGAGACAATGCAAGTCGGATCGTGCATTGACAAATACTTGTTTGAGTTCATTTTAGGCTCGGATTGGGTTGAAATATGAGGAGTAGTCATATATTCTATAGCCTATAGATTTATTATAATAATTGTATATTTATTAAATATATTATCGGCGAGTCAGTTTGAGTTGGGTTAATTATTTGTCAAGTAATTTTGTAAGGATTAAAAATTTTGGAACCATGAATAATCATAATCATGTTGTCAATTTTGCTAGATTAACAAAAACTTCGTTGTTTTAGAAGAAATTTCAAAGATAGTACAAATGATTTTAGATAATATTAAATTTCGAATTGAATCATCAAATACAGGTCAATTTAGCTAGATTAACATATATAAGAAGAAATTTCAAAAATAGAGAAAATGAATAAATGACACCGTATACTCTCTTCATTACTGCATTTTGAATTAATGGTTATGGCCCACATTATCACGGAGTGTATTACTTCTATTTGAACTTTTATCCTATTTTTCACTCGCATCACCAATATTTTGAAACAAGTGGACTATTTTCGCAGTTTATTGTCACTTGCACCATTTAAAGTTTTAGTTTACTAATGCATGACTTCAATCATGAATATTTTTAGTCATCTATTTGGTAAAAATTATAAAAGAAAAAAAAGAAAAAAAAATGTAAATAACATAAAAGTGCAATGATGCAAGTATTAAAGAACGAAGAAATAATTACATACCTCCTACCAAAGGCAAGCCTGCATATATTGGAGCTCGCAGAAAGAAACAACAATTCACTCAAATCGACAACTTTAGAAGCAGAAGCAAGAGAAGAAATCTTATGAATAAGCCTTGTAAATTCATCTTGAAGAATTGGAGCAAAAGACTGCACTCTTTTTACACTAAACAAATGAAGAGCAGAAATCTTTCTTATTTCTCTGAAGTACTCAAAGTCTTTCGCAAACATTATGTCTGAACCATTATAACTTAGTCTTCGCATGCCAACTGATATAGGTCGATGGCAAAAGTTTAAGTCCTGCGTTTGCAGGACTTCTTTTGCCATCGTCGATGATTGAATAACAACAACATTTTTACTTCCAAATCGCAGTGTGTATATAGGGCCATGGATCTTAGCGAGTTTTGCAAAAGATAAGTGTGGTTTCGAGAAATCGAATTGGTGTAAGTTTCCGATAAAGGGGAGGCCTTTAGGTCCGGATGGAGGATGAAATGGTTCATTTTTTTGGTGCTTTGTAAGAAGAAGAAAAATAAGAGAAAGGGTTGCTAGGAAGAAGAGGAGAATAATTAGCATTATTTTTTATGGATTTATTATGGTATCAAATGTGTTTAATTCATGCATGTCTTGGTCTAGTAACTAGCTATACAAATTAATAAATATCATGCAAGTGGTAGACAAATGCAAATGAAAATGGAATTTTTAACATGAGTGGAGAAACCTTTGCCCGGTTCTCCAATAATAGACTGACCTTTAAATCTTCCCATTTTGGATAGAAGTTTGCATTTTTTCTCCCAAAATGGACCAAACAGGTCACCCAACCTGTTATATCAGGTAAAACGCCACTTGTCATTTTATCATTGGTCAAGGTTTTTTTTTTTTTAATTTCCCTTTCCTCCTGATCCCTTTTCCCTTTCCTCCCTCTCAGCCACCGCCACTTTTCTCTCTCTTCTTTCTTCTCTCACAACCACCACACCTCCACCACGGTCCAAATCAAGTTGTCGGCCTTCTCGTCGGAGTCTCTCAACCACCACACCACCACCAGCCTTCTTGTTGTCGTTAACTCTCCTTCTCTTCTCTCTTATCTAACAACCACTACCCCACGACCACCATCGGAGTCTCACATCCCTCTCAATCAGAGTCGCCTGCTCTCCTTCTCATCGGAGATGTCGGCACTTCTTCGAAGTTGAAACCCTAGACAAGATATTTTGATGTTGAGCTTGAAACCTCATATCTAAAGCAAAAATGGTGAAAGATAGGAGGAAAGGTGTGGTGTTGGTTACAAGGTGGGTGTGGGGTAGCTTCGTGGTTTGAATGCGAGATGGGTGGGGTGGGTTTCAAATCTTGGTGTTGGTGAGAGGGTGGTTTTCGGGTAGGTAGGAGGTGGGTTTTTGGATCTTGGTGGTAGTGGGGTGGGTTGGTATGGTGATTTCGGTGGGTTAAGATAGTGTGAGTGTGGTGGTTGTGGCTTGCGGTTGTTGTGGACGGTCGTGCGTGGGTTTGGAGTGAGGAAGCAGGGGAGATTGAGGGGTGAGAAGGAGGAGGGGTGGTTTCGTGGCGGGGGAAGGGGAGGAAGAGGTCTTCGATGGTTGGGCTGGGGTTAGGGGCTGCCGGAGATGGTGTGCAGGTGGAGCAATGGTGGTGTACTTTGGGAGGAGAGAGGGAAAAAAAACCCAACAATAAGTTTAAAAAAATTGAAATTAAAAAAATTAAAAAAAAAAATTGGAGAGGATAGATGAAGCTTGAGTTGGTTCATCCATGGCAAATGAGATGGAGGAAGGTGATGGAGGAATGAGTGAGGGGATGGTCGAAAAGGGAGGAGAGGTGGAGAAGGGGGTGGCTGGCAATGAGGTGAGGGGCTGTTTTTTTTTTTTAATAAAAAAAAAATTATTTTGTTAATTTAAAAAAGAAAATTAAAGATTTTTAATTAAAAAAAAAGATAATTAAAGAAAAATAACCGGTTGTACAGGTCACCAGTTATTTGAGTTCATTTTGGGAGAAAAATGTTAAACTTGTGTCTAATACGGGCAGATTTAAAGGTCAGTCCATTATTGGAGAAGCGGGCAAAGGTTTGTCCACTCATGTTAAAAATTCCAATGAATAATAGTACATGAGAAAATATCTTTTTTTTTCTTATAGTACATGAGAAAATATCCTTTTTTTTTTTTTTTTTTTTTTTTGATGCAAAACTTGGGGAAAGACCCCAACAACCAGGAACAAACAAAAAACAAAGGACCTATGAGATCTCATCAGCAAATTGCGAATTCTCAATACTAATTTTTTAAGAAATATTTTTACTTCGTATGTATAATTTTCATTGATTAACTTTTGACTTGTCGTATATAAATATATTTACTTCTATTAATAATTAAAGAAATAAAGGACTTATGAATGTATACAGTAAGTTTAAGAAATATACAGAGTATATAAGAACATAAGACAGTCATCATTACTTTGTAAATTTTAAAAGAAAGGATCTCTAAAACAGTGGTGGAGCCACGTAGGAACATGGGGGGACAGTTGTCCCCCCATTTTCCAAAAAAAAAAAATAATGTTTTATGTTAGCTTAAGTAGATGTTGAAAATAAGAATAAATACATTACATGTATAGCTTGTATATAGACAACATTTGGTCTGGTGGTTGATGGGCTTGAGTAAGGCTTGTATTTCTCTTTAATCCTAAGTTCGATTCATTACCCAATCATTTTTTCGTTTCTTTTTGCTATTTTTGGACTTTATTTTTATTTCATTTTATAGTTTATACAAAGTGCTCCCATTTAACTTCTTTTTTTTGTTTTTGGATTTTGCCCTTTTTTTTTTTTTTACTTGTTTTTGAATTTCATTTTATAGTATATAATTTATATATACAAAGTATTATTTATATATACAAAGTATTATAAGTATTCAAACCTCTAACTACTCTCATTTAACTGTTTAATCAAGTACCGCCTTGTTGATAGTGATTACTAATGTGTTATTAAACTATTTGTAATGAACACATGTCTCCGTATTTTTTTTATATTTTTAATTATGTGTGCCTAAATTCCATTTTTTTTTAATGTAACCCAAATCCCTTTACATCTACTATCAATTTGTTTAAATGCTTATCATTTGATAAATCGTATATATCGATTATTGAGGATTACATACCTTAAAAATGGAATCATTACCCAATCATTTTTTCGTTTCTTTTTGCTATTTTTGGACTTTATTTTTATTTCATTATATAGTTTATACAAAGTGCTCCCATTTAACTTCTTTTTTTTGTTTTTGGATTTTGCCCTTTTTTTTTTTTTTACTTGTTTTTGAATTTCATTTTATAGTATATAATTTATATATACAAAGTATTATTTATATATACAAAGTATTATAAGTATTCAAACCTCTAACTACTCTCATTTAACTGTTTAATCAAGTACCGCCTTGTTGATAGTGATTACTAATGTGTTATTAAACTATTTGTAATGAACACATGTCTCCGTATTTTTTTTATATTTTTAACTATGTGTGCCTAAATTCCATTTTTTTTTATGTAACCCAAATCCCTTTACATCTACTATCAATTTGTTTAAATGCTTATCATTTGATAAATCGTATATATCGATTATTGAGGATTACATACCTTAAAAATGGGGTTTACCAGCAAAAAAAATATTTGTTTTGGTTAATAATTTTCTTAATATGCAATTAATCTCTTAACAACTCCTCTTTCACCACATAAGAATAATTGTCATATCTCATACGCGATTTCAAATATATATTAAACAATTTATGTAATCAATTTTTTTCTTAAAATTATTGTCGATTATTAAACATCTAAAATTCCCCCCCCCCGGGTTACAAATCCTGGCTCCGCCACTGCTCTAAAATAAAAAATAAAAAAAGTCATGTCAAGTAAAACGAGTGTAACAATCAAAATGAGTCAAATAATCTAACAATTTTATAACAAAATGAGGAAAATAAATTCTGGATCAGTCGCGCACTCGCGCGAAGTGTTAGGCCCAAATACACTATATGAAATAACATGTACATGTCGGTATTGATTTTGGACTACTTACATGAAGTAAAGGATCCAATTTTATAAAAATTCGCGCAGGACCTGGATGTCTTTGTCTCGATTAGGAGAAGTCTTAAGTGACAAACACAGCTACATTTCAAGACAACTAGATCAAGCCGTAAGCCCCAATAAGCCACCAATAGACTACTGCGGTCCCAGCGAGCATCCTTTTCAAATTCAGTTTTTGACAAAATAATGGGGCTACATTCATTGCAAAGATGCAACAAGTTGATTCGAAAGGAGCTCATCAAATCAAAATCACTCTCAATAACTGAAAAAATCAAGTGTTTTTCATATACAAATTAAAAGAGATCGAGGTGCTTCACGAGATTCCGAGAGGTCACTTTTAGGTGGTTGAAACCATTTTGCCCCTTAACTATCAACGTAATCGGTTACAGACATACCTCTAATCCCATCATGGACTTAAAGGCTACCATGAGCATATATATATGACTGATTAGTGGACATATATGATTTTTTAAAAACATTTTATGACTCCCAGATCCATCCTCACCATCATATTGCTTAAATTATTGACATACATTGAGGTGTTTTTCGAGGTTCCTAATGTCTCTGAGCTCCTATTTGGTGCCCAATTTAACAAAAATGATTCTTGTACACAGTGGCGGACCCAGGAATTTCCGACTGGTGAGTCACAATCGATAATCAAATATGTAAAAAAAAAATTTTACCAAACAACCAAATAATAGTACTAAAAAATACATCTAAATATTCAAACAGTACAAAATACAACCAAATGTTCATATAATACTACAAAAGATAATTAAATAGTAATGCAAACTTATTACAATAGTTCTCGACGAGTTTTCATGTTTTGATATCGATTTATGATATCTTCCATGCTAACATTCAAAAACAAATCATTCTCCAAATAAGTAATTAAACAATCATTCAACATTTGATTTAAAATAATCACTCAGGCACTCAGCAAGTCAGCACTTCAGCATTATCATTATTATCATTATTACCCCTAAAACAAAAACTTAGAATTCAAACAATATAGATTTAAAATAATAATAATCATAATTGTGAAAACTAAATAATAGCAGAGACAAAGAAAAGCTTAAGTTTGATAAAATCTGGAAAATTATAATCTTACTCGTCCCACTTCGCTAGAAGATCGTCCGTAAACTTATCGAGGTTAGTGCTATCCCATGGATCTGCATCCCGAAACTCAGTTAGAGGAGGAATAGAACAAAAAAGACGAACAGGGATAGAGTCATCCATTTTTCTTTAAAGTTTTTTCTCAATTTCTATTGCTTCTCTTCGATTAGGGTTTTCTGGAAAATTTGAGAGGAAAGAGGTTTGCAATTCAGTAATCTAAACTGCAATTTTATAACCTGCAAGTATTTGGAGTCGGTTTTGGTTTTAATCTTTTTTCTAATATCAGGCCTCCTGTTTTTCTTTCCTTTTTCTTTCGAGCAATAAAAATCTCAGCCCTTCACTACCCTTTTCCTGTTATTGTCCACCGTCCACGACTCCACGGAGACGGAGCAGGCGAAGAGAACGGTGGCTGGGTGGAGAACTGGAGATGAAGCGAAGAGGCGAAGAGAACTAGAGAAGAAGGCTAGGGTTTGAACTTTGAGGAACAGAGGAAGACAGTAACTCGGGAAGCTAAAGAAAGTTTTTTTTTTTTTTTAAATAACTTAAAAAAAAATTTGGGCCCTGGTGAGTCACTTGACCCACCAGGCACAAGCCCAGGTCCGCCACTGCTTGTACATGTTTTATAGATTTTTTTTTTTTTTTTTTTTTGTGTGTGTGTGTTTGGAGAGTCACAAGGGCGAATGATGAGAATCGATCCCAAAATCACCTGACACCGGGAGGGAAGCTCTAACCACTTGAGCTATCCCTCACTCTCATGTTTTGTAGATTACTCGTGGTTTTTCTATTGTATTTAAGATATAGTGATATACATGATGCTATTTTTTTGAAAAAAAAAAAAGAAAGAAAAAAAGAAAACCCCACCAAAATGAAAAAATAAATTTAGTCTTTCAATCGGATCCACATGATTTGAAACAAGTGATCAACCCTAGATAGCTATGACGATTTCATTTTCTCTCCATTAATCGGTATAAGATTTGTAATATTTTGTCATTGCCCCAAACAATGCCTAGAGGTAATTAGTTAATGCATGTAATTTTAGAACAATAATTATTTATAATTTTATACTCCATATCATGGGGAAACAATAATATTTTATGTGTGAGTATGATATAATTGTATCACGTACGGGCCACCGTATATCAATTGATTAAAAAGGACAATATTAAGGCGTGTCGTGATAATATGTATCTGATTTGTTAGAAAAGATAAAAATTAAAAAAATAATAACGAAAAGATTATTATAGAAAAGAGGGAGCATAGAGTCCTAGTGTGGACTAGATAGATGATTGTTGTAGCATCGTACAGTCCTTTTGTGGAGTTGATTGAGTGTAATCCTTACTAGGGCCAGCATAATTCAATTCACTATTAAGTAGGGAACATATAAATCATTTAGATGGCACATCAAGGCAGATACCATCGACTTAGTAGTTGCCAAATATAATTATTTGTGGGGGATATTGTGATCATTCTTACATTCTATCACGTGTTATTTGTCATCAAAACTTCTTATATATTAATTAAATTAGTACGGCTACACTAAAGTTTTATATGCACGCAATGAAAGTTTGAAGACGAATTTTAGGCTCTTCTCTTAGTAAAGAGAAACTAATTAGCTACTCCGTAATATACGAAAACTCAAATTATGTTGATATTGAAAATATTAAACTCTAAAAGAATAGAGTTGTTAAGACATGTTAGTTATCTAAAATTTCGACACCAAAACCTCTATAATTACTAATTAGCCTATATTTCACATGGTAACTTGTTAACTAACTTATGTTGAATTTGTAGACATATGTTTAGTAAACGCATCAATTTATTGACTTTAACACATTATATTATAAAGGTTTTACTGATATTAAAAAATAAAATAAGATTACTACGAATAATTAAGTTTATCTCCGCTTGGCTGGACGAAGATTGATCTGGGGCTTCAGATGACGTCCTAGACAGTCCATATGTGATATTACTGTTTAGTCTATT